GGGTGGCTTTTTTGTTCCACCTTGACTGCAAGGTGGCGGCGCCGCGGCTTTGATGAGCGGGGGTGAGTCGGAGTTCAAACTTTGTTGCCGTTAGCCTTTCGCTTGGCATTCACCACTCCTTCGCTCGCCGTCATGTGCCAGTGTTAACAGCATCCACGTCTAATCTGACTGTCGATCTTCACCAGATACTACCCCACTTCCCCGTACTCCACGGAAAGCTAGCACCTGAACCTCTTGATCTCCGCCTTTGCCTCTCACACGTTGACCCGGAAACTATTACGGTAGTGTCATAGCATTGGCTAGGGTGTGGACAAGAATTGTAGCATCACCCCCGTGTAGTCTGAACAGGCTATCAATCTAGGCTACTACCACAGTGGTAATCCATGCAGTGGTAATCCATGCAGTGGTAATCCATGCAGTGGTAATCCATGGATTGACGCCACTCACTGGACTCTTCCGGATCACAAAGTACTGCCCTTCCGGACGCCGCAATTTGATCCTGCACGCGAAATGGGATCAAGAAACAGTGGCGTAGCTCCAGCCCTTTTCGCTTGATCGATGTAATACTCAATTTGAGGCGCATTGTACTACTTCCCCGTTGGGCTCGGGTGCCCACGCATTGGGGCTCGCCGGCCGTCGGTAGGGGTTCGATTAACGGCTTTACTCCGGAACGCTTTGTAGATCTGGGGTAATAACGTATTCCTAGACAACTCGGACGAGCTCGGATGTCCTTATGCCCGGTCCATTGGCGGCCATGGACGAACGTTTGATGCTGGGCAGTTACAGCTGACACAGTGGTGTCCAAGCCGTGTAATGTCCTGTCAGTGCGTGCCTTGACTACTTGGCGCGTCCGAATGTGATAAACTGATTCTGGTTGTACAATGTGCATATGTTGTAGTTATGAAGAAAGAGACAGGACGATGTTTGCTCTCTTTAATTGAGAGTCCCTCCTCAGATCTCCGACAATTCCTTTGATTCACACGTTTCTCACAACTCAATCGTATCGTATGGCCGTTGCTCTGGGAGTTGATTTTGATAATGGCTTATCAGGCATAGCATTCTAAACTTGGTTTCAATGGCGAAGGCAACACAATTCCCGAACTTGTTGCATGCTAAACGTTGAACCCGAGGTTCTAGTCGAAGTCATCCGACCACCCAAAGCCGTGTTACCTCAGCGTTCGATCTCTTGAACGCCTGCCAGTTTTGGTCTGTAGCGATGCTGAAATAACGTACACACCATGGGACCGCATGGTTCCCGCATCCAGGGACATTGCAAAGAAACCGAAGCGTGTGGACGATAACCATGTGCGTGTTCTAAATTTAGCTCAAATGTGTAGATTAACATTCTCCATGTAGCAAGCGCGTTTTACTTATTTGACGTATGTCCCAAGCGTTTTCGCTGCTGGCGACGCCTCCATCCCCCTCACCCCCCACGATATGAAGTCTTCGGCAGTGCTCACGGCCCTTTCTGCGCTCGCTGTGGTGTACGCGTGCGGCGATGGACACGACCATACTGTTGCCCGTCGGTCCGCCGCGTCCTCGCAGTCCTCGGTCACACCGCCGTCGCGCCCCCTTGAATGGGGTGATATCAACATCATCCACACGACTGATTCGCATGGCTGGCTCCTGGGCCACCAAAAGGCGTCTTTCCCTGAGCCTAACTACAGGTGAGGCGTACTCCTATTGCCTTTCATAGTTGGTGTAAGATTGACGCATTTCTAGTGGTGATTTCGGAGACTTCGCGTCATTTGTTGCGCACATGAAGGAAATCGCTCTCGTGCGCCGCTCCCAATTGGATGTACCCCTATAGGCCCCTAATGCCCACTATCAATTCAGAAAAAGGATGTCGACCTCTTGCTTGTCGACTCTGGAGATCTCCACGACGGTAAGACCGAAGACGATAGCGAGAACTTTCCTCGTCCTCATGATGTACCTCAGGAACTGGCTTAGTGGATGGATACCCAGCTGGAGGTGTTGACGGTCACGACGTTCGTGGTTCTCCTGTTCTATTCCGAGACGACATACTCATCGCGAACTACTTTCCAGGCAAACAAGTTCTTCTCCCAATTGCCGTACGACCTGCTCGCCATTGGCAAGTATGTGCTCTACATGTACCAGTCATAAAATGGCGCATCGTTTACGCGCTTTCATCCCAGCCACGAACTGTATATCTACAACAACACCTTGGATATGTGAGTTAACAGTCATTGTGGAAGAATGTTCCCGGAACTTATTCGGTCTTCCAGGCATTTGAACTTCGTTCCAAAGTTCAAGGGACGCTACTTGTCCTCGAACGTAAATATCACTCTTCCCGATAAACATGGCAACTACGTCAGTGTCCCGGTTGGCGGTACGTTGGTCGAAATTTCGTTCGCTCTCTGATGGATGATGCTGAGAATGTTGGCCCAAGATCGTTATGCGAAGTTCAAGACACGCAAGTAGGTCATCCCTCGCGCAACTATGAGGCTAGATCAATAACATTCTTCAAGGGGTCGCCAAGTCACCTCCCTCGGTGTCCTTTACGACTTCACCGGTGCTGCCAAGAACACCACTGTGCAAAAGGTGGAAGACATGGTCAAGGAGCGCTGGTTCGCCGAGGCGATCCAGGAGGAACCTGACTTGTTCTTGCTCGCTGGGTGTGTTCTGTTTTTCTCGGGTCTCTCCCATCGAATACTAATTGCCAATTGGTTCATCATAGCCACATGCCTGTTGCAAAAGACAACTGTACGCGTTTCTCCGATGCTTTCAGTTTCTCATCTTCACAACACACTCAGGGCCCCTGGTGTTCAACGCGATCCGCGCGGTGCATCCCTATACTCCCATCATCATTCTCGGCGGTCACACACACATTCGCGACTGCGGTATGTCATTCGGCTCCAGACCATGAGCATTTTTTTCATACATCGTCTAGTTCAATTTGACGGCCGATCGATGGCTTTGGAGAGTGGACGCTACATGGAGACCCTTGGTACGCGTTGCCTTCCCCTTCGTCGATTACTAGTACTTACTGATTGCCTTCCATACAGGTTGGCTCAGTATGTATTCAGCTCTGCACCCCATAATCCTTAGCTCAACATTATCCCGTCCATAGCGGCTAAACTCGATAAGACCTCCCACTCTCACGGAAACGGAAAGGACAAGTCAAAGCCCTCCAAGCCCAAGGATATCGTCTTCTCCAGGCGCTACCTCGACCCCAACCGTGTTACCTACGAGGTACGGGTCATCTTTTCTCAACCCGAGTTCCGCACCAACAATGCATGTATAGTACCACACCGGACACAAGAACTCTCAGTTCGACACTAGTGCTGGAACGTCGATAACTAAAGGCCTGCAAGCGTTGTCGAAGGCTTTCAACCTTGACTTTTTGTTTGGAACTGCCCCTCATGATTTCACTGTCACTCAGTGAGTAGGCATGTATATATGGCCGCTCTTCTTCCCTGACATTCTCGTTCCTACAGGGCTCCTTACCCTTCTGAAGACTCGTCACTGAGCCTCTTCGCTGAGGATGTGAGCAGACAACCTCCCACCTCGCTAGTGATCTTCGTTAATAGTGTTTTCTCTGTACAGGCCCTCCCTATTGCCCTCGCCGTCAACAATACTCGCTCCTCCATCCCTAACCTAATCATCACCAACTCCGGCTCACAGCGCTTCGACATTTACGCGGGCACCTTCACCAAGAACGACCAGCTCACCGCATCCCCCTTTGCCGATGCATTCCTGTACATCCCCGGCATCAAGCTCTCCCTCGCCAACGACGTCCTGGCCTCCCTGAACGGCGCGGGCTCGGACAATAGGAGGAGCTTGATTGAGGAGAGGGAGACGGTGGAGTATGGGCTGGGCTACGTGGATAAGAGGTACAGGGGCTGGCTTCAGGATATGGATAGGCGCCATGGAGTTGAGAGGCGCTCGGCGAAGAACCAGACGCTGGGTTATGTCACCACTGACGTGAGTCCTCGCCACATTCTCTATCTACTTTGGTTCTGAAGATACCTGAACAGTCGTGCCCCGGCGTTGGCGACGATACCCTCCACGCCCCGCTCCCTTTCTTTGACGTCCCCGACTTCGTCGCGTCCAAGCCTCCTGCAGTTGGGGATGACGACCTCATCGATCTTGTCTTTGTCGATTTCATCGAGACGCAGCTCTTGAAGATCCTTAACACCGCACAGTCAGACAAAACCTACACCACGGCGGACGTCAGCGTCTACACGCCTGTCCTCGCCAGCGAAGCCCTTGGCATCTATGCCCAGGCTGCTTGGAATTAGGACAGATCATAGTATACATTAATACTTCGAATTATCATTATCCTTTTGACTTCTGTCTTTGCAATCGAAAGTGTATCTGGCTTTGGTCTGCACTCGATAACATGGAAAAAATAAGAAAACAACCCCGAGACACACATACTTTGAGGATGGAAGAAAATAAATATTGAGATCCGTAGATCTACCACTCCGGGAAAGCGTGTCATCCTTGTGCAGGGGCCATGCTAATCTTCTCTGTATCGTTCCAATTTTTTCGTATGTCACCCCGAAGGGGACATAAAGCTATATCTCGCTGACAAACATACAACCCGGTTGCTGCTTTTTGTTCAGCCCACGGGGTGGATATTGATCAAATCATTTCAGCACCCAGTGTTGATTCATTGCACTCATGTATCCTGCAGCTGTGCGTCATGCACACTTGGTACCAGCAGCTTTTCGTCATGTCTCGATTATCCAGAAGAAAGCAAAGCTGGTGGATGTTGGCTATCAAATTCGATTTCAACACCCGCCAGGCACCGTTCACAAGTATGTAAGACTAAATAAAGTAAAATACTGTTACATTGGGACCTGTGGCGCAAGGTGTGGATAAAATTCATTGAAGCGGGCCATACTACTTCGCAAATCAAGATTGTGTGGACATGACGGAGGGTAAATTACTGTGTACTTGCAAGAATGCAACGGTATGTTTGCTGGTTGAGTCTTGCAGCGTGCCGACAAAAGGATTCAACAGCAAACCGCCATTGGACACATCCGGAATCGAACCGGAGACCACTCGCAATTCGAACACAAAGCCAGCGTAATGCAAAGCGAGCGTGATAACCAACTACACCATGTGCCCGTGTGAGAGTTGTGTTGGGTGAGTTCAGGAGCGGGGACATCCGTGGGGAGGAATGGTTGTTGCATACCCCACGCGTCGAGGGGTGAGGAGAGTTGTATGAGACCGTGGTGTAGTTATTGCTAATTACAAGAGAAGCAGAAAAGTAGCCAAGTTTTCATGAATTTCCGTAAGTTGTGGTCCGTGCGCGTGAGAAATGATTCCCGAGATGGACGTGTTGCTGGCTGTCGTTGTTGGCGTTGTGCTCTCATTTGGATTTGGATTTCTCTTTCATTTGGGAAGCGAATATTCGTTTTTTTTGAGCGTCGAGTATCTATATCGCACAGAGATCGTTCCCCCTCCTTCTTCTCTTCGTGCGTGTCTTTTTTTCTTCCAATACCACACTCGTTTGTGTCCTTTTCCTTGAGGACCATCCAACCCACGCTCCCTACTTTTTAAACCTCTCTAACAACCTTTCTCTTCGCTTCATACCCGTTTTCCTCCTTTACCTACAATGGACGACTCGCAGACCACTTTTGCGCCTCAGTATCCTCCTTACAACGCATTTGACATCGACATGATGAAGGTAAGTTGCTTTTCAATCTCACGCGTCACATCTCACTCGCGTTATAGCGTTCAATGGATCCCGTAGGAGGTCCTGATGCTAAAAAGGCCCGCTGGTCACCCACTTCATCCTTCGCTGGCCAGCCTACTAGCCTCAATGGAGCAAATAACTCTCCACGCGATGCTTTTGCCAACTATGGCTATGGGCCTCAGGCTAGCATCTCTCAGTCATCGTTCAACGGTTCTCCTGGCGGATTTCCAAACAGCCCTCTGTACTCTTCCCCGAACCTGTCTGTCAACACTCAGAACAATGGCTCTCCCATGCCAGGCCAGCTCAGCCCTAATACAGCTGCAGCTGCCTTTGCCGCACAGCAACAGAACCTGCAACAGCAGCAGCAACAGCAGCAACAGCAACAGCAACAACAGCAGCAGCAGCAGCAACCGACTGCAAATGGCAATGGTTATGGCCAATTCCCTGGGTACAACATGCTCGGAATGGGAATGCCCGGCATGAATATGCTCAACGGTTTTCCCTACTCCGCTCAGATGGGCCAATTCGGACAGGTATTTAGTTCGCGCCCATCTGCGCCGTATGTCGCTTACACTTCAAGTTCCCTATGCAGAACTTCGCTCAGCAGCGGTTACCCTCGCTAAACCTGAACATCCCCGCCGCCCAGGCCGCCGCAGCCTACTCCCCTGCCGCTCTCTCCGCCGCCATTTCTGCCTCGTCAAACGCCACTGGACGCACAGTCTACGTTGGCAACCTCCCCTCGACCGCATCCGTCGACGAGCTGCTCAACCTGGTCCACTTTGGACCCCTCGAGTCTATCCGCGTCCTCCCCGAAAAGTCCTGCGTATTCCTCTCCTTCCTTGACGGCGCAACCGCCGCTGCGTTCCACGCCGATGCCACCATCAAGAAGATGGCGCTGCATGGCCAGGAGCTCCGTATTGGCTGGGGGAAGCCGTCCCCGGTCCCTGCACAGGTCGCCCTTGCAATCAGCCAGAGCAATGCGAGCAGGAACGTGTACCTCGGAGGCCTCGAGGAGAACCTCACCGAGGAGCAGCTCCGCGACGATCTTAGCCGCTTCGGTCTCATTGACCAAGTCAAGATCGTCCGTGACAAGAATATCGGTTTCGTGCACTTCCTCAGCATCTCGGTTGCTACCAAGGTCAGCGTCCTTGTCTTACATCTATGTGCTATGTGCGCCCACTGACCTTTTCCCTGCAGGTGGTCAACACCCTTCCGACCGAGCCCACCTGGGCCAACAAGCGCGTCAACTACGGCAAGGACCGCTGTGCCTACATCCCCAAGTCGCAGCAGGCCGCCGCCCAGCAGGCTCAGGCCGTCGCTGCGCAGTCGCTCGTGTCGCCCCAGTCCGCCGTCGGCGGCTTCTCGCCCTTCGCGCCATACGCGCCGTTCAACGCGGACGTCATGGCTAGCGCGGCACAGGGCGGAGTGGCGGGAATGAACAGGACCGTGTACCTCGGGAACATCCACCCCGAGACGACGACAGAGGATCTGTGCAATGCTGTAAGGGGTGGTGTGCTCCAGAGTGTGCGATACATGGCCGATAAGCATATTGCTGTAAGTATTGATTGTTTCACATGGGTGTTGACATGTCCTGATGGTTGTTCTTGTGTAGTTTGTGACGTTCGTCGATCCCGCAGCGGCGTTCACCTTCTACCAGGTCGCAACGTACCAGGGATTGACGTTGAACAACCGTCGCCTTAAAATGGGCTGGGGCAAGAATTCGGGACCTCTGCCGCCCGCGTTGGCGCTCGCTGTGCACTCTGGTGCCACACGTAATGTGTACATCGGCAACATCGAGGACTTTGAGACCTTCACTGAGGACAGGCTGAAGCGTGACTTTGGCGAGTTCGGTGACATCGAGCTTGTCAACTTTCTCAAGGAGAAGTATGTTTCTGCGTGGCCGAGTATGCATAGTTTCTCATAATGGCATTTTACAGGAACTGCGCGTTTGTAAACTTCACAAACATCTCAAACGCCATCAAGGCTATCGAGGGGATCAAGAGCAAGCCCGAATACGCCAGCCTTCGTATTGCGCATGGAAAGGATCGTTGCGCAAACCCACCCCGTTCCGGCCCTCAGGGCGGGAACGGCGGACGCCGCACATCCAACGGCAACGGGCCCAACTCTGCCGAGCCCGTGAGCGCTATCGGAGACGGTGAGGACGGCGAGATGCTCGGAGCCGACGCGGTGTTCATCAATGCCGATGGGGAGGTGGAGGAGGAGCTCAGCCCCGTGGAGAAGGAGAAGCGCGAGATGCATGTCGACGCGTTGGAGCAGGCGGCTGCGTAAGTTAGGTGGCATGGAGATGATACCCACACGATACCCCCCACGCTCGTTCGGCCGCACGCCCATGCCCACCACGCTCCTTCCGTCCCGCGCGACAACGCGAACATATACCAGGGCCACACGCACGCATGTGCGCCCAGGGTTCGGGAGCTGGCTGTTCGTTTTCTCGCCTGCTCGCTCGCTACAAATATTTTATCTATGCACCTTTTTTGCCCTCTCTTTATTACCTACGTTTCAAGTACTTCTTTGTTCATAGTTTACGCTTTCATTTTCTTTTCTTTCTTCGCTGTCCAAGTGTGTGAGTGTGTGTGGCTGATTGACAGCCCACCACCGTCCGCTCTTTGCTCCTTCCCCGTCTACTCTCGCTGTCAAGCCCACTAATGCCAAAGTCCCGTCCCGTTCTGCCTCGCAATGCCCGGACATGTTAATGGACTGTACATCGCCCATCCTTACTCTGGGCACTCCTCTCCTTATCGACTCCACCAAAAATGACCTCATCTCCCCGTGTGTCTGCATATCTCGATCTCTCTCTTTTTTGTTCACGTAGTTGTAGCAGTAAATCCGGAGCAATAATATCATTCATGGCCTCATCATCGGAAAGGGTTTCGTTATTCTGGAGGTCCGAGTCTGTTTGGACGTCCATAGACTCAGCATGGACACATGTATTTCCGGTGTTGGCCGGAAAGGAGCATCTTTTTGATTCCGACATCACTGTCTCAACTGGGCTGTGGCCAATTCTGGCGGTGGCGCGATGGATCACAAACCGTTTATATTTGGGTTCCAGTTCCTTTTACTGCTTTATTCCTCTCTCTCCTGACAACAACATACAATCTCGAAATGGGACACAGTTCTCTAGCGATATTCTCGTATGGAATTGTTCTCGGCATCCCACAAATCAAGCGCCTTCTCGCTGTTGTAGGGGCCTCAAAAGGCCCCCGGACTGCTGATAGCAAAATCGATGGGTTGCTAGAAGACATGGCGCCCTACCGTTTCCAAGCGGGAAACACCTATGACGATGACTGGCCATACAGCAAGGATGACGATTCAGACCGCGCAAGTGACTCGGACGAATCAGAAAGCGACGAGGGCGCCGGCTATAATGCCATCGGTGACACAGAGTTGATTATATCGTTCGATGGGCTAGTCAACGACAAACGAAGCCACCAGCCCGGAGTTGAGATCCGGGGTTATAGCGCGAGTAAGCATGCCTCACAACGCTTCTCTCGTGAATTGTGACTTGTATTGATACCCATTGTCCACAGGCGGTGTGAGCTATACAAAGGTCGACCTGCCGAACGATAAGAAGTTTTTGGAGGACGCAAAGAATGCCTTTCAGAAATTGAAGGACAGTAAAGCGTTTCAAGACGCGAAAATTACAGAAGTTGAGCCTCAGTGGATCCTCCAACTGAGCCTGGGATGAATGATTCGTGTATTGTGAAAGGTAAGCTTCATAATCGTCTGAACCGCCAGGATTGATGTACTTGTAAACTAGGAATATACAACCAAGATTTCTCGCCTACTTGAGGACTTCCTCTATTTTCGTTTCACGCGTCATCGTATACGTAGTTGTAGCAGTGAAACCGAGTGGCATTAGGTCTCAGTGGCTTTCAAAGCTCCTAAATCAGTATGCGTTTAGAAACTTGGCCCGTGTGCAGTGTGGGATAGATCTCGAACCGAATTTAGGACTCAGATTTCGTTCCACCGCCCTCTCTATCCCTCGACACAGACATATTCGTATTCGATTCTGCCCCGGAAATGGGACGCTGCTCCAAAGCAACGTTTTCTTATGGCATTGTCCTCTCAAAACCACAAATCAAGCGTCTTCTGAAAGCTATAGAGGTCGACTCGGAACCAGGCGAGGCTGCCTTTTGTCTCTATGGGTGGCTGGGTAGTAAGGACCTGGCGCCTTACTGTTACTCCGCTGATAACACTTATGACCCCGAGTGGGCGGAGGACGACGGTGATTCCGACTCAGATGGCAAAGGCGAAAAACCCTCTGGCACGGAGTTGATGATCTTTTTCGATGGGTTGGACGATGACGAAAAAGAAGAAGCCTCGGTTGAGGCCTGGGGTTACAACCCGAGTACGCCCATAGCTTTTCTCTCTGGCCTCTGGACAGCGTGATGACTGTGACCCCTTTCCT